TGCTCCTAATAACCTTCTCATCCTTGATATGATATCCTTTATACAGTCTTAGGAACAAATTAACTGATGGTCTATACACAGTACGTATACAAGGCTTTGTAGTTTTTTCCTCTTTACATATTTTTACAACTCATCCAAAAGCCCTAGCTCTATTCCAAATCTGACAGTACAGTTAGAAATTGAGACCTCTCTTTAAATTGTGCTAAGATTTTTTTTTCCTTAGATTCCACCCTAAAGGAACTAAACCAAGGACAGGGTCACTGCAGAAGCTCTCCTTGCATGAAAGAACCGTAACTAGTCCCTGTGGTTCCTTTCTCATCTAAATCCAACGTTTTTGCAGACTGTCCGGGTTGGACAACATTCCTTGTTGCTACCAAAAGTAAATCTGCTATGTGACATTTCTTTATGAAATTCAGACGTAAGGAGGATTTAAAAAAAAATAAATCCCTAATGTCAAAAAGGTTCAAAGGTAAATGCAGTAATAAATAGGCAGCTTTTTAGAAAACATATGCCCAAAAGGTAGTAAAAGACAAAGGAAAAATTAAAAGATCCATTGGAATCCCCACCTGCTTTCTCACCACACTTTTTTCCTGTTAGTAAATCTGTGATCTTGTCTTTTGCTCTCGTCCTCTCCCGTTATCTTTCACTCACTTCAGCAGTGTCTTTCACTCACTTTTTTTCCTCCACGTCTCTTGCCTACGCACTTGTCTGCTCCATCACATCTCCTCACGTACCACCTCTTCCTCCCTCCCTGGTTTGCTCCCTTGACAAGGTGAGCACAGTGTCCTACCAACACCTCTGTCTTCTCCCACCGCTCCACACCAGCCTCTGAAGTCCCTGTTCGGAGTTCACACCAGCCAGACCACTCCTCTTAGTTACGCTGCCCCTTCCGTACCCCACTGAAATGGTTCTGACTGAAGTTTCTGAAGATCTATGGTGACCAGATTGTGGGTTTTATCCTCCACCCTCATCCTGGTGTTTAACTTGTTTGCTGTATGCATACGAGATTAAAGGTTTTATATTTAGCTTGTAAACTCAATAATTGGGATTATCTTTGTTGTATCTGAGCAAGACACATGGTGATCTGGGTGGTGCTGCAATACGATATTTGTTTGCAATGTTGTGGGGTTTTGTTTGTTTTTTTAAATATTTTTACTTAAATTCTTATTGCTGGGAGTAGCTGGTAGTAGTCCTTCCTTTAAAGAATACAAAATAAATTCAGAGCTGAAAATTTGTTCATTTTGAGTATTTATCTAGCTGATCTCTTTTAAAGGCACACTTGTTTTAAAAGACACTAAAATCTTGAAAATGAGATTTGGATAAAATGCTGCAACTAAAATTACCGTGTCGAAGCATGTCAGCAGATGGAAGGCTTCCATTATTAGTGTAAGGTGTTCGGTCAGTGTGGTGGCTGAACGAACCTGAAGGCGGAAATACTGCGCTACGTGTTATCAGAACTGCATCAGCAATTTTAAATGTTCTTTTTCTAGATGAGAGTCTAGAAGGCTCATGGCTGAACAGGAATGAGAACTTACATACTCCAGGGACACTGCAAGCACCACAGCTCACCTCAACTGTCTTGAGAGAGAACACGAGACAAATGGGAGAGCAGATCCAGGAGCACGAGTCAGAGCAGGGATCTGAACAAGACTTTTTACACAAGTAAGTGCTGGAATTTCAGTATCAAGTACAGTGAGCCAGGGAAAGTTGTCCATTATTTATAGAGATAGTCTGTGATTCTATATATGCAGTGTTTATTTGCAAAACCAGCTGGAAATGTCTTGGCTGGAGCTCAGTAATACTTGATTATTTTCAGTTTCCATGAAAAACACATTGTAATGAAATCATAGTAGAAATTCCTTATGTTAAAATTATCTCATAGTATAACTATGTGATTATGGTTAAATCATCCCAGTGTTTGTGCCTCCAGGTTGAACTGTTTGTCTAAGAGACATGTTAAATGTTCTCTTTTTTTTCCCCTCAGCCCTGTGTCATGGTGCAGACAAGATTCTCCAGACATCCTAACTGCTCTCTTGTAAATTATCTTTTCAATCCAATTCTAGCTGCTGAGCTAGTAATTCCTGTTTCTGGGGTAATTGCCTGCAGGCAATTTTATTTTGCCCTAAATTATACATACTTTTTGTCACTCAACTCCCACTTTATCACGTCCATTTAGAGGGGGTTATTATCTGTCAGTTCTTTATTTAAGAATAGAGAAGTCTTCAGAGAATGCTATTATGTGCTATTTCTATTAATTTGAAGATACAGACTAACAATATCTGGTTTTGGAGACCATTTCTTTAACTTTTATAGTCAAAGGTACTGATCTGATTTATCTGTATAAAAAAGACAAACTGTGCTGGCTAGATGAACTGGGTTTCTACCAGTGTGATATAGTATAAAATAACCAGATTATGCCTCTAGGTTTTCCTCCAGCTTTTGTCCCTCATATTTTTCTTGACACACACTCCCCAACTTCCCAGTTCTTCCTGAGCATGCACTCACCTTGCTTATTCCTAGACTTTACTGCTTCATCCTGCATTCTTTAATCAGTATTTTCGAAATAGAAATAATTAATAATGGTCATTCTGCCTGGGAAGGTAGAATGATCTCCAGCCTGGGCTTGGGTGTTCCCAGCCTGTGCTTCTCTGCAAGTGGGGATGGCCGGCGTGTGGACGGGAGAACACAAGGCAAGGCCGGGTGTGGATTTCCTCACCTGCATGGGTCCGACTGGCAAGTAATCCCAGCTGGCCAGCGAGAAAGTACAGCCGAGGAAGCGCCCCTGCTCACACCAGTCCCAGAGTATCTGTTCACCTTAATCTCACGGCGTGAGAGGTCTGGGTGCAAGTCTCTTGCTTGCCTTTCTGAGGTCAAGGATTTGCCTCCCATCTCCTGCCTCTGCAGATGTTGCCATAACTTCTAGATTGAACAGAAGATGTTGTGGCTCTCAGTTTCTCCTAAATTTTTTCTACTCTGCAGTAAAAACAAAACAAAGGAAATTGCTGAAGCAGAACTGTCTGTCTGATCTCACCTATCAGTAAGCTAAATCGCTCTGTGAACATTTAGTTAGTTGTGGGCAGTGGGATGGCTTCTTGTCCCTGTGTTTTACCCCTGAGCCTGATGAGCAGGCACTGCCTTCACAGGATCACGGAATGTCAGGGATTGGAAGGGACCTCAAAAGATCATCTAGTCCAACCCACTGCCAGAGCAGAGAGAGACTCCACAACCTCCCTGGGCAGCCTGTGCCAGGGCTCTGGCACCCTCACAGTGAAAAAGTTTTTCCTAATGTTTCTGTGGAACCTCCTATGTTCCAGCTTGTACCCATTGCCCCTTGTCCTGTCATTGGAGATCACCGAGAAGAGCCTGGCTCCGTCCTCCTGACACTCCCCCTTGACATATTTATAAACATTTATGAGGTCACCCCTCAGCCTCCTCTTCTCCAAGGTAAAGAGACCCAGCTCCTTCAGCCTTTCCTCTTAAGAGAGATGCCTTAAGCTGCGGGAGAACCTTCCCCTCTCCAGGGGGGGAAAGCTGAACACGTCTCTTCGTGCTGGGCTTCAGCCTCTGGGTCTCCTACGTCAGATGAATGCTGCTGGCAACAAACAGTTGAGCAAAGGCAGAGAGCATCACTCTCCTCTGCTGCTTTCCAAGAGTTGGATTCCACAAGACACACAGTGTGAAGGGACAGTGCAGGGTCCGTTCCTCTCTGCCTGGAAGTCAGCTGCCACACACATTGCCTACGGCTCAGCTTAGGAGAGCTAAAGCATAAAATAAACACAGCGCAGTCAGTCAGGGAACTGACAGGGTTAATCATGTCCAGAAGAGTATTTTCTTCCAGGTTGTTTTCCCACAGGTTATCCCAGTTTATTATGTCAATCTTACTAGGGTACAAGGCTGCGTAACAGCAGGAAACCTGGTGTTGCTCTTGAAGAGCTGCACTCATTTGCTGCTCTTTCCTTATGCTGCAATACACGAATCGTATCAAACGCATTGCTGTCTACTGCTGGATTTAGATGGTACTAAAAATACAGCTGTCGAGGTATTTACAGGTGGGTAAGTTACGGGACACCTAGGTTGGTCAGGGTATATATTTAAAAGTAATTTTTTTTTCACATTGTGTGACTTTTTGTCTTAAAATATGTGTCAGTTATTAATTTGGATCTATTCTTGTTAATATTTTGCCTGATCTGAGACGATGAAGTAGGGTTTAATAAAATGAATTTTAGAAGTGCTCCCACTTCAGGTGAATGTCACACTAATGAATAATGCTGTTGTTTTATGCAGCTGTTTTTATTACAACAAGTAATGGAGTTTTTTTGTGCACATACAGTGAGAGGAGACAAGTTGTGGAAGGGAATCCGGAAGACTTGCCCAATGATGGATGTGATTTAAATATCTTAATCTGAAGCATGGCCAGACACAAAACTTGAGGAGATAGATATTGTCTAAAAATAGCCAACTCAGAATTGTTAGTGTTCTCAGTCATAATGCTGCTTTGTGTTTGTTAGTCCCCAGATGCAGATATCTTGGTTGGGCCAACAGAAGCTAGAAGATTTAAATCGGAAGGACAGGACAGGAATGAACTACATGAAAGGGAGAACTGGTGTAAGGCATGCAGTGTAAGTGTTCAGAGCATCCTCATCTCCAGATCAGAACCATTTCAGATGACAGTGCCACGTTTTACCTGACCTTTTCTGGATTGTTGCCAGTAATTTCTGTTAATGAAGGCGGAGTAACAGCTTTGTGTTGTTGGAGTGGGTGCTGGCCCCTGTTCTGCCCAGTGTTCCGCATCCAGCCGTGACGACAAGCAAGTGCCTGGTGAACAGGGCTGACAGACGTGGCACAATTTCCTGTTGTTCTCTCCCAGCCTTCAGCTGTTTCCATTTCAGGGGGTTTCCATGATTTGTCTGTTTAGTAATTCCCCATGAACTCTTCCAAGTCATTGTCCCGCCTTCCTGTGAACCCATTTGTGCTTCTTTCATCCACATCACCTTTTGCCAAGGCATCCCGCTGGTCAGAAAATGGACGCTGAAGCGCTCTGTTGTAGAAGGTGCTCCACGCTCTGGTGCTGACCCAGCCAAGTCCTTCGGCACATCTTTAAGGATGAGGGCCAGAGTCTCTGGTGAGATCAGGTCCTTACAGTGTTAAAAATTGGTCTCTGCCGGATCCCTGGGATTTACCACTGAGCCTGGCAAACAGCCTGACTCCTTTTTGGAAAAGGGCAAGCAAACACAGTGAGGTTATTGCCCTTTTCTTGTTAGAAACAGATTTAATTACTGTTTATAATGATATTACATGGGACTTCCTGCTTTAGCCTCTGCAAGTGCAAGATTTGTTTTTTATGTGAGATTTTTCTTCCAGTTAATATTACAGAAAACATGCTGGCTTTATTCTCAGCATAAGGTTTTATGTGAAGGCATTAAGGGATAGGGTTTGTGCATTCTTATTAATGGGGAAGATCATGGTTGGGAAATCTAAATGCCTGGAAGTGACTTTTTGTTTCTCTTCATTTAATCAGACGAGGTCTAATGGAAGATGATGCTGAGCCCATCTTTGAAGATGTAATGATGTCCTCAAGAGGTCAGCTAGAGGATATGAATGAAGAATTTGAGGACACAATGGTCATTGATCTGGTCAGTAAATCTTACTAATGGCAAGTTTAAAATAGATGAAAAGATAACAGGAGTTTCAGAAGCATAATCTCCAAAATTTTGGGCCTGATTTTCTGTTGTCTGACCATTAAAGAGCAAAAATGGTCCAAATGCACCCTAGAACCTGCAACTATAAACTTGGGCCCAACGGATTTTTTTCAAAGAATCACTGGGCGTGTTGCTTGCTCTTCCTTCTAATGTTCAGTAACAAGTGCCTGAAGCACCATCACGCACCTGGGACCTGTCAGCTTGTGCGAATGAGGGTACGATTTACAGCGTGTCAGGTGTACCTGTGTAGCCCTCTTAGACGAGCGCGGCACACAGAGCTGGGGCGACTTGCCACACAGCCAGCCCAGGGCAGGGGGAGTGCTGGGGGGTAGCAGGGAGACTGGCTCACCCCATCTGACTGGGTATGACGTGAAGCTGCCAGCTCAGCCTCAGGAAGTACCAGTTGGGCTCTATAAAGCAAGTAACGATGTTTGACTCCAGTTTTTAGTTGACATTATGAAGAGTTTGGAAAGAGTATCACCTAAGAGTATTGTGGGTGGTGCTGCCTTCCCTGTGCTGTTGTCACAGGCATCACTAACTCTTTTCTGGCACAGCTCTTTATGCAGCCACACTGCAGTCAAACTGATACAGCCAAGCTGTTTTTCTTTTCCTGAGCCCTGGTATGTCTGATTTCTGGGAGGGGGAACCTTAATCAAGGTCTGGTTAGTTTACAGCCATACACAGAGTTGTGCTGGCACAGCTGAAGGCAGAGCGGGCAGCCGTGGGTGGGCACCAGGCGATACCTTACGCTGGAATTCCTCCCAGACAGGTCCTGTCGTCAGCTGGGAACATCAGGTCCTTTCATGCAGGCAGGATTTCCTCTGTAGAGGTTATAACCTCTCTCTTTAGAATGGATACTTTCCTTGTAACATAGGAAAAAGCATCAGTTTGCATTACGCTCTTCACCATTTTTAATATTTATCTGTTTCCCCTTTCGTATCCAAACAATAAGGCATAGGTTACTTTAGGACTGGGCTATATTGTCTTGGAAAGAAAATTTAGGCAATAATTCAGTTGCTGCTAGGTACTGAGGTTATTACTAGCATTCAAATTATCTTTAAGTAAAATTTCTCTTCTACTGGTAATCCAAAGCAAGGAAATGAAGGAATTGATCAAGCCAGTGAAGCTCACATTTATGTTCCTGGGGTAGGACGACGCAAAAGGTTTAATCCTCAGAAATATTAAAAAATCTTAAGTACCTTTTTTTTTCTAAATCCATTTTCTGACCATGTCAGAGCTGAAGTTTCACCGTAAACTTAAAAGCATAAAGTCAGTTAAAAGACAGTTGTTATGCAGTCTGGCTTACAGTCCTAATGCAAGAACATTGTTAAGTCAGCAAGAGCCTTAAGCAAGTCCTTAGCTGTGAGCACAGACTCACAATTAGTTTAGAATCCATCAGCTTTTACCCATCCCTTAAACACAGCGTGAATTTAAGAAGTACTCTCCTAGGTCAGGGTCTGCATTTGTATCAGAGCTTTTATGACAATCCGTGCCCGTGGCTTTGTGAAGGCGTGGGGGACACGCGAGCAGCCGTCTGCAGTAGAGCCACGCGAACACTTCGTGCCTGGGTCACTGCTGGCATGTTCTGAAACGGGTGACTCCTCTTTTTAGCCGCCTTCAAGGAACCGGCGAGAACGGGCTGAGCTGAGGCCGGACTTCTTTGACTCCGCAGCTATCATCGAGGATGATTCAGTAAGGACGATTCAGTATCGTTTGCCATTTATCTGAGGTTCTTCTTGATTATCGTTGCACTTCATTAATTATTGTCTTCTAAATCATTTTTCTAGGGATTTGGAATGCCTATGTTCTGAAGTCTGGTGAAGACATTTTACAAATTTGGAACTCTATTGTTTAGAGCTAGAGGCCTATATACTGTGATAGCTTGTATGAAAACCACATTTTTGATGTGATACGGTTTGATTTTTAACCAAATGATTGAGGTCAATCCCTTTTTGTAGTGACAGAAGGAAGAGGAACTTCTTAATGACACAAAGGAATGTTGGCCAATCCAGTCACCTCAGAAGGGCTGACCTAAAATATCATTTGTAACCCTGTTCTTGACTGTCCTAATACAGATCTTTTGTTTTTCCTGAATGAGGAGGTTTTAAATTGTTAAGACAGCTGTCAAAATAAACACTGTTCTACGTATGTTTTCTGAAAACAACATTGAGTGAAAACAGAACTTTTTAACTTTATTTTTCTGCTGTACAATTTAAAACAGTTTTAACATTTGCCTTTTTATGTTTTAAAAGCTAGCCATTTTTATTAAACCTATGCCTATCAGCCATTGACTAGCAATGACACTATAAGCAGGTCATTCTGGCTACAGAAAAGTGTTTTTGAACACACTGGATTTGATTAACATTATGGTACGCTTATATCCTCTCATAGGCATTGAGAAGAACACTCTTATAGAAGAGGTTAGAATTCTAATGACGTGCATCTCTGCCAAAAAATTTCAGATTCTGATATGATAAACCCAGATTTTATACTCTTGAGAAGATTTATTTTTATTTATAATGGGACATAAAGTAAAAGATGTCCATGAAGCCACTTTTCCAACAGATGCTGTGTAACATTCATTTTATATAGCACATGGGGACACAAAAACAGTAAATTTTCTATTGGTACTTGCTCTGTGCATTTTTAGCAACTTATACCAGCAAATAAAGTATTCTCAGTAAAACACACAAATGGTTCTCAAGTAATCACTTTGCTGTTTTTACTACCTACTTCAAGCCCTGCCAACCCAAGGTACATAAACAGCAACTTTCCTATTGAAAAAAAAATAAAATATTCAAGGGTGGGGGAAAGGAAACACTTTAGCATACTAAAAGCGATTTTAACTGTACCATAAAAAAAGTCTACTTTCCATGCCGCAAATACCCTTTTGCGCTATTTTTGTAAATTAATTTTGCCAGTTAGAAGTACTGTATGTGCTGCATAGAAATTTGTGCTTAGATGGTGAAGTTCTTAAGCTTACAATGGAATACAGCTACATTTTCAGTGTTAACTGTGCATATTAAGAGTAATTCTTTGGGAAAAAAAAAATATGATTTTTCAAAAAAGTTAAAAACATCAAAAAAACCCCAAAAACCCCAAACATTCTCAGCTAATTCATTGTAATAAGAGATTTTTCAATGTCTTCAATAATTTGGAATTTCATTACACTTCGATTTTATGACTCTGCCTAGTAGCTGCTACTTAGTTACAACTGGCCTGATACCAGAGGTGCTGGCCATCCACAACTTGCACTGACTCTACTATCTCTAAGAATGAGCCCAAAAATGTTAATCTTCCTTTCTGCATTCTAATATTAGCATCTGAGATACAAAGCAGATTGACCCACTTGGAGCACAGCAGTTCCAGAGGTGCTTTTTTTAGCAACTACAAAATAGTCATGGAGCTTCTTTCTGTTACGAGCTTATTGAAAAACAAAACAACATTCATGCCCAGCGCTTGCTTGCTGGGAAGGAAAATAATTTAATTTTTAAAACAAACGAGCATTTCACTCAGCTGAGGTTTGTTTCTTACGTGCGGTTCTCAGACACGGTTGCCAAAAATGTTTGACTAGGTAATTCAGCCATTCCTCAGGTGTCAGTTGGGTGACATATAAAACCTGAGAAGCAGCTGGAATTTTGTAAAGTAACGTTACCTCTGTTTCTCCTCTGTCCACCCCAGAAGTAATGCGGGTGGGCAGGAATGGCTGCATTAAATTGTCATCACAATAATTCTGTGAGCATAGTAGCATAACAAATGCTGCCTGGTTTGAGTCATAGTCTCAGACGAACCTTGTGCTTCACAGTCCTCTGTGTGGAAAACTGATTCCTAATTTAACATAGTAGAATTCTGTATAACAAACATTTATTATCACGGTACCTGCAATGGGTTTCCAGTTCAGTTTGCAGTCAATAGGTTTTTGTATTATGAGTGTCTCCTTGATTGGTTTTGCTAGTAATTCTGTAAATTGTACATTTACAATATGAGGTTTTTTTTTTCCTTTTGTACAATTTAAAACTGATGCTTCACCTTTCATTTAATAAACTATTCAAAATCATGAGTATGATGAGCACCCTCTTCACTATAACTTTCTTTTAAATGCTCGTTTGGACCATCACATCCTGTCATTCCATTTATTAGTAGCCAGAGGCAATACTGGAAGGTAGTTCTCAAGCAGCCCGGGCTTCACAGCCAGACTCCCCACAGCTCCCTTACCCATTCAGCCTCAGAGCAAAGGAAAACTGTGGCTGGTCTGTTCTTAACCCTCCACTGTGCTGTATTTTTTTGGTTTTGGTTGATCTGGGTGATTGTGAGATTGCTGGAAATATGGTAAATCATCACAGAGGTTGGGAGAGATGCATTAGTACTTCTAATTGTTTGAACTGCCACCAATTTTGAGTAAAATTTCTCTCTCCTGCCCTGTACATCTGGAGTGAATTGGACCACGTGGGAAAAAATGGAAGTGGTCGTGGCTTGGAATGTCTAAACACCCAGCCAGGCTAAATGAAGTTTTACAGATTCCTGAAACGAAATGTCCTCTGGTTATTCCCCTGTCTCAGAGAGAAGGGTGTTATTTCTGTCCAAACCCATTGAATGATTTCATCTCTGTAGTGCTAAAGAAAACTGATTTATTTATCATCTGGCCCAATTCCTAAAGAAAAGTCATCTGAGTCAGAGAAAGTAACAAGATGCAGCAGGTGAGGAACTGGGACAGGCTTCAAAGCCTGAACTGCACTCTAGGACTACTCCTGAGACACAGCCTGTGAATGCTGAGTCTCCAACCACTTGTAACACACATCTGATACACTCCTGATACTCTGTGGAACAGGGTAAGTAACTTGTCATGCTTCAAAGTTCAAGGGCTGCTCTCTGTTGAGAGGATTGTGTTTTACATCTCTTGTTTCTGTAGGTGACTGGAATTCAAGAGAATCTGGTGTCGTGCGGCCAGAGCAGCTTGCCAGTGAGTTTCCAAACTTTTGTGCTGGGAGAGCAACTGACTGCTTGGAAGTCGAGAGGATATAAAAGCCAAACTCTTGTGCTGGCAGGGGGCAGAAGAGAGGATGAAGCCTGTAGAACTAATGAGGTTAGGAGACAATTAAGAAAGGTTGTACTTTTTCCTTTGTGACAGTGACAAGTGGGGTTTGTATTTAGGGTCTCCTCCTGACTCCGGACAGGCTGAAGAAACTACGTGCTTATCGCTTCAGACAGTGTGTGCCTCTCATCTTGGGACAGCCACCAGGCACACTCTCAGCTACTCGTTACATCTGAAAAACCCTCTTGGTCTTTACAAACTCTACTACACCTTTTCTCACAATTAACCAAGAACTCATTTCATGGCAATGACCCCCAATATAGTAACATTTCAGTTTACCTTCCCTTGTTGCAGCCCACTCTGTTCCGTGGAGCCGCGCATACAGGCACCTGCTCAGAGTGTTTCTGCTGAGATACAACCAGGTACATTCATGCAGCCAGGAGAGATGGCACCTGTAACCTGACTGCAGTCCCTCACCAAAATCCTAGGGAGCTGAGATTTGTACATGAAACTCCTTCTGTACTGTGTTTTCAGATCATTTTCAGTTGTTGCCTTATTTTTCTTCCCTTTCCCCTACCATGTGCAGGCCCCAAGCCCCAGGGCTGTACTCACTTGGGCACTGGCCACACCCACCTGGGAACAGATACCTGGAAAGTTGCCGTCTTCTTCTTCCACTTCAGGCACAGGCTTGGGGAGTGAAGAGAAGCAGCTGCAGTGAGCAGGTAGGGTACTTTTCTTGCAATATAGTGCCATTAATTAGCAAAGTTACTTACAACAGATGGGTCGTTACAGGACTTCCGTGTGCCTGGCAGCTGTTTGCAGCAGTGCTAAACATGACAGCAGCTGTTACCTTCTGGGGCTGTAGCTGAATGCAGCCTCTGATGAGCAGAGCAAGCACAAGGTCCAGGGCTGATCATACTAACAACTAATGCAGTGGTTCCTTACAAGTCTAGCAAATAATCATAGAAAAAAATAGGCTGTAAGGGGCCTCAGGAGGTCTCTGTTTCAACCCTCTCCTGAGGAGGAAAAGCCTTAACCCTCAGGGAAAAGAAAAAATAAAAAAAAATCTTATGTCTCACCAGAATTACCCTTTTTCCAATTTGGGCGCATTGCCTCTTGTCCTTCAGGAGAGGGCTGGGTCCATCTGCTCCATCCCACCTGTGCCTACAGCATGGAGGTCACAGACACCAGCCTGAGGCCTCACACTGCTGCCAGCGCGTACACGCTGCAGCCCAGGACAGCCCAGCAGAGCAACAGAGTAGGTTAGTCCAGGATCGGCAAAGCCTGAGTTCTGGTGCACCAAAGTCCCAGCTCCGGACTTTTCTGTGAGTCTCTGGTGCAGGAAGTCAAGTCAGACTCCAAGGGCGGATGCAGGGCTGGACTTGGACTCCACAGGGGTCTGACTTCTCCGCAGAGAGATGCTGCTGCGGCTCTGCCCAGGTGAGCCACCTCCAGGGCCTATGCAGTGAAGGAGCCAAGGGAGCACCTGACCTTCAGCAATGAGTAACAGCTCGCCCGTGGCAGCTGTTGCAGGTTGTGTTGATTATTAACCCACTGAAAAGGGTTTATAGAGATGAACTGCTAAGACCTCAAATTAGATGAGATACGTACTATAATTTATTGATGGTCATTAGCAAAATCAAAATGAAAAGAAATATTGCAAAATAGATCTCCACTTAAACTGAGCATTTATGTTCCAGCATGGCCAAGCCTCTCCTTACACTCACAGTGGGATATTAGCGTGTTTCTTCCAAGGACTGGACTGTGTTTTATTAGCCAGCACATCTAGGTCATGGCAGATGCGCACACGCGTGGTCGAAGGTTCGATGATATCATCAACAAACCCTGTAAAACAAACAAACCCCTGACCATCCATGAATTGCCTCTCAGCCTTCTATATCTAGGTTGTAACGTAAATTAGCAAAATCAAAACAGTTTATGCAATAAGCAGTTCACAAGTTTCAAATTGACTTACGAACGTAATTTAAAATAGCCTGGAAAGGGAATATACCCATGTCACTACTTTTTTTACATTAGAAACATTTCTTTTTAACTTTTGCAAAAGTTAGCAAGCCAAAAAAATGTTGAGAGGGCTTCGCTCACTGAGTACTGCACCTGTCACTGTAAAGTTTTAGACAGACCATCTTTTGCCATCTGCTACTATTGGTCTGATTTAAAGGTTCAGAAGTGCTGATTAGAAGAGACATCCCTCAACTTTGCACATGCAGGAGTCAGGGGTGTTTTATTCTGCTTCAAACAGCAATAAATAGTCTACTGCAAAACCAGAGGGCACAGTACGACAAACTGGTTGTGGCGGGAAACACCTTGGCTAAGTCTTCCCAGCTCTGTGGCACTACCAACAGGAGGTAAACAAAGTCCCAAGGCAATCAGCAGAGCAGGCCCGTGTGACTGGAAACAGAGCGAGCTGACTCCAGAGTCTACAGAGCTGCTTTCTGGAGCAGTTGATGCTTCAAAGCCAGAAGTAAGGACAGCTGAAAATCTGCTCCAGAAGGTCCTGGGGAACATCACTGAACTGACTCTGATCCTTCCTTAAGGCCACTGGCCTGCATCTATGACTCTCAAACAGATTGGCAAAGCACCTGTACTTTGAAGGAAAAAGTTGAATTTTTAAGATGCTTTCTGATACTTACAAAATTGAAAATGTGCCTTTCAGTGCAGTCCCCACATCTCACCCACCTCTTTCCATCTGAAGGTGTGTTTTGTGTCTAAATGTCTTTCCATGTGCAAGCTATGGTTAAGCATCACCTTCCTGACTCAGATACAAAAGTCTTGCCTAAATAATATGCATCATTAGCAAAAAGTTTTCTCAATAGCTACAAAATTCATCTATGTGCAACGGCAAACTCAGACAGGGGACTCAACGTGTGAGATAACCGTACCTCTCATGGCAGCAGGAAAGGGGTTTGCAAACTTCTCCACATACTCTGCCTCTGCATCTGCCTCCTTTCCTCGGAAAATGATCTGGACAGCGCCCTATAGAGATGAAAACCAGGCCAGTGGCAGTACGTCAGCCCGTGCAGAGGAAAGCTCTCTGCTTCACCAGCCCCTTCCCCTCACCGCAGTTTACAAATGTCCATTCAGGTCAAGCTGCTTCAGAGAAAATACCCGCTGTCGTCATCTTGCTGGGCCACCTCTGTGCCACTGTAGAGGCACTGGTGGCTGCTGCACACCCGTGTGAGAATCAGCCTGGATTTACCTTCGCACCCATCACTGCCACCTCGGCAGTAGGCCACGCGTAATTTGCATCTCCCCTTAAATGCTTTGAGCTCATCACATCATAGGCACCGCCATAAGCCTGGAACAAAAACCAAGGGATTAGTGTGGCGTGAC